GTGCTTGCTGCTGGAGCAGCACGGTCTCGTCAATCAAAGCAAAGGGTGAGGTTTTGTCGTCCGAGGCCGCCGCATTGGCAGCAGGACCGGCCGTCCAAACGCTCGCCCCACTGGTGCGATGTCCGCGAGACGTCAGGCTACAGCCAGGCCATCGATTTCTACCGACTCGGACTGGTCTGGTAGCACGGATCACCAGGTCTGCACTGTCTGCGATTAGCGCTAGGTGACAGCCTGCTTCGTGGCCATTGTGCAGGACTGCACACGGGCTGGTCACCGTGCGCCGTGGATAAGGGATGATTTACATCAGTGATGAGCGCTGGCAGTCTGTACATTTTCCCTAGTGATACGCTTGGGACGCAGAAAAACTGTCCGGCAACCCTCACACAGGCTACCCACGTTTCTAACACCATCGGCGGGTTGGCGCGAGGGGGCGCCGGGCTGCGGCTCGCGGGGAGGGGAGGGGGCGCCTGGTAGCAACGCGCGGGACGGCCCGACCGGTGACGTCGGAAGGAAGAGGCGGCGCCGCGTCCCCCGCGGCCCGCTGCCGGCGGGTTAAATCTGGTCAATGCAGGGGATGGCACAGCAGTTGATACAGACGCAGTGGCCGACGGCTGACACGCGGGCACGAACAGCGCGAGGCTGCTGGTGTGTTTGTGGTCAAACACACCGCATAGCATCAGGAGGCATAGTGTCTGGCTGATCAGAAAACCCGAGACGTGATTTGCCAGGAGGCGTGGACGACGCCTGTGTGCGGTTAATAGCCACGCTTTATGCCGTTTGCCACAACCGTTCGTGAGTTTGATGCTGGCAAGCTGTAGTCGTAAGTTCATCGTTAGCCAGCTGACGGAGGGAAGGGCGATGCGGCGCAAAAAGACGGCACGGAGCCAACACAGGAGGTGCATCCTTTGTGTGGTTTGCTCCGGCCGTCTTTTACGCTTGTGGGAATGTCATCCGAGTAGTAGGTGTCTGATCACGTCACGTTTTCTTGGCGTGCCAGGGACTGATAAAAAGACACGGAACAGTAGGTGCTGTGACTCACTGAGTCGGGTCCGGACGGGGCTGGCTCGATCGGGACAGCCTTTAAAAGAATAATGCCCAGGAATTACCCAACAAAGACCATTGTCACCTTGAGGTGTCAATGCTTCCGGAATCAACACAGATCGCCAAGTTCGATCCCCGTTGTTATCCCAATCAAGCCTCATCTTTCCAAGCGGAACTCTCAATGATCCAATCTGCGGGTCGGGTTAGTAAGACGTATGTACGTGAGTGGTACGGGTGTCTCGCTACACATCCCTTGGATGTGATTAAATACGGATCAGTTGCGCTGGGTTTGATATTGAGCTCTTAATACCGTTAAAGTGATAAAAATATATCATGTCGGTTTGAAAGAGTACAGGTGGCGTGAACGGGCAATCTTTTGGTCCCAGTTTTGCACTGGAAATGCGAGCTTTTGTCCCCGCATTTTATGACCATCTCAGCACTGCGCGGTCGCACATTTGGTGGACCCTTTCCCATCGTTCCAGGTATCAGAGGCAGCTTTACGACCTCCAGGAGAAAATTTGCCCAGTAAGCTCGCACCGTCAAAATAGAAGCCTAATTTTTATCAAACGGCGCCGTTATCGCCGCGGTGCCTCCCCATTTACGCGTCCAACACACACTCGCAGTTTACGATTGGGCGTCCGTTGACGGCTGTGCGCCGGCCATTGTGCGCCTGCTGGCACGCCGGGACACCAGGCGTGGGCTCCGCGGCCAGCTGCGGCGGGGGCCCCCGACGACGGGCACCGGCCCACATGACGTCGGTCTCCAGCTCGCCCCCCCCCCCCCCCCAGCACACGCTGCGGTGTCATTGACGAGGCTGGGAGCTGTGTGTGGCACAGACTTGTGGATGATCGTAGGATTATGTATGCTAGGTTTGAAATGAGATTACGATAAGCATTCATCATGTGTTCAGACAAACAAAAGCGATTGTAATTCGATATGTGTTCTAACTAGTAAAGGTTACGAAAGATCAGGCCCGAGGATAGCACGCGCGCTTCTGTCTCTTCGTTCGCCAGCTGACTGATTGTCGGTGGCGACATTGTGTAAGGGCAACAGAAATGGTCCAGATGATGTGCCCAGGCCCGTTCCGTTTCTGCCAGGGCTGAGGGACATGTCCTTTAACGCAATCAAATGGTCTGTGCAGAGCATCGATTTTCAGCCAGCTTCACTGATCATGGCATGCGAAGACCGTATAGCTGATGCAGTCCAGTCCAGCAATATCGATAAAGCACTGCCACATGACAGAAACGAACCCTTCCTTGCAAACCGGGCTACATGTCATTTAGCCTCATTAAATATCATGAAAACGAAAGGAAAATATGAGCTGCCAATGTAAAATTCAATTAGTCAATCAAGGCGTGCCCTACGGGTTTTGTGACACGCGAGTTTGTGGCTCGGACACCAGAATTGCCCGCGGCACTGACACGGAACTGATTAATACCCAAGCGGGCCTCGGCCGTGCCATTTGTGGCCCATCTGAATCAGATCGGAGTTGACTGAATCTGAAACATCGAAGTGCCAGAAAAATCCGATACTTGTACTCATCTCCATTTGGAGATTCGTGCGTCACCTCACCGGTCATTCTCGCGAAAACCGTTTAGTCCTACCGGTAGCCGCCGAACCAGACCTGCCATCATTCCGTCCATGGTCTCCAGACAAAAATCTTCAGCTACGGTCTCACGA